TCTGCGAGGAGGTCGGTGATACATTGAGGAGTGGCGAGAAGGTTGGCTGTGAACGGGGCAGGCTTGGAATCTGGAGAGCGGAACAAATCCCAGAGCGGTCCGCCAGTTATGTTGGTCCTGCTGATGTTTAAGGACTGAATTGTCCCACCGCAGTTACGAAGGGTTTGAAGTAGTCCTGAGTCCGTGAGCCGACTACCTTCCAGGTTAAGGCTCTGAAGGGCATGAAGTGTTCCATACTGAGCCTCTCCGGTTATATTTGTTCTGCTAATATCTAGTGAACGTAGGGTGTGCTTGGATTTTAGGATCAGCTGAGACAGACCTTGTTCCGAAAGATATTCACACTGAGTTAGATTTAGGGTTTCTAGATAAGGCAGTGCTCCTCTCAGGTCTTTAATCAGTTCTCCTGTGACATTGGTTTTGGACAAATCAAGCGAAATCAGGGTTTTTCTGCACAGGATCAGAAATTTTACCAGTCCTTCATCAGAGAGAAATAAACAAAATTTTAGATTGAGATTGTTTAGACAAGGCAGGATTCCATAATATTCAGTTAGGAACTCTCCTTTCACATAAGTGATTGAGATATCAAGACTTTTTAAGGTATTTCCACACAACCAGAGCAGCATCAGCAGGCCTTCGTCGGTGAAATATTTACACGCTGATATTGTTACATTTTCCAGATTAGGCAAGCTTCCATCAAAATCACACAAAAGTTCTCCAGTAATATTTGTGTTGGACACATTTAAAGTTTTGAGAGTCTCTCCGCAGAGTTGAAATATGTTGAGTAGTCCTTCATCAGTTAGACCTTCGTTCCATGAACAGTTTAAATACTCTAGACAAGGAAGGGGATCATATAGGTCCTTGCAGGACACCTTTGTACAAGATATATTCAGAGATTTCAGGTTGTCTCCACATAAATCTAGAATTCTAAAGACAGTTGAATCGGTAACGTTCTCGTTTCCAGGAATATACAGCTTTCTGAGAGTGTTTTTACAGGTTTCTACAAGAGAGACAAGAACTTCCTCTGATATATCAAGGTTGTACAGACCAAGGGTATGAAGATGAGAAGACAGAATTTTTAATGATTTTCCGGCGATAATCTCCAGACTGTTGATCTCAATAGAGGCCAGGTTGGGTAGGGAGAGAAGTGATTGTAAACCATGGTTAGGATATTCATAGATTTGAGGAGGATGGTTCAAGGTGTAGAGGTGTCTATCCCCCAACTGGATTTTTTCAATCTCTGGATGTTTTCTTACTAAATATTTGACTCCGGCATCAGTTGCATCTCCGATAACTAAACCTGAAAAAAAAAATTTCGGCATTTAAACTTAAACAAAAGAGAAAACAACTATTTTATGAATATTTGAAAAATGCAACTGAAATAATTTTAGATTATAAATTTATTTGTCAAAACCCTATTATGGTGAATTGCAACATGATATTATAGATAATCATTGCCAAGGGTGTAATTCAAGGAAAGTTAATTGCGGTCGTGTATACTATGCGTACACATTGAAACCAGTTCTCTTTGGGCGGAATTTGTAAACAAGAATAGATGCATCAGTGTTCGTTTAGTATCCAAAGAGGTTAAAAGCATTAAATTTTGATAATTTTGATAATTCACATAATAGTTTCCTATGATCAGAATATTTCATTGATTTTTTTATGTGAAGGATGGATCCCAATCCCATGTCAGGCTTTGACATCCATCTTGTGTTTACATTACCGCCCAGAGACAGTACACTGCAGTACAAAAGATGTGTACACTTCTTAAATAACTTTCCTTGCATTACATCCTTGATCATTGCCTTCAGGACCATGTATAATAAAGCTATGTTCTTCATTATAAAAATGGGATATTATGAGTATTTCTTTTAATACATTTATTTATAATAAGTTAGGATTTCACAAAAATTTAGACGAATCTTTAATTTAAATTAATATAAAAAATTAAGTATATAAATTCAATCAACTATATTGAAGAGATTGAAATTAAATTCTATTTTTACAGACGAGTATAAGCTACAGGTTTAACCACAAAGGATGAGACTGTAAAGACGATTTTTAATGGGTTATAAAATGATGTATCTAGGAAAGTGAGAAGTTTAAAGCTGCAGGAAATCACTAATATAAGGAAACGGATTTGTATAAATTCCATACAATCGTCTCTGAAGTCTCTTCCTTTGAGGGTAACAGTTCCAGTGAATAATGTATAATTCGAACTTTGTATTTAATGGTTTAATGGGGTAACTTTATGTAGCGAGACCCTTAAAATTGCGGAATAAGAAGACGATATTTGAACAATCTTTTTTTGTACTGAACGTTGTTAAAAAGCAAACAGTAGCTTGGAAACAACTCATTATTCGCAATGAGGTTGACATAACTTTATTCAAAACTAGCTGAAGGGCCGGCGTTAACACATGAAAAGCTTTTTTAGCCTATAAAACCCTCCGGCCACCCACGAGTGTCTACAAAAAAATTTCAGCCCGATCGCTCCAGCTGTTTGGCCGGCTATACGCAACATATTTACGAATATGTGTTGTTTTGTCATATAGATTTTGCAGTCGTCGTCGTATATATAAATACAATGAAGACGACTTTCATTTTTTACATCTAGTAAGCTTTCAAACATAAACATGGAAACAAAGAGAAGCTTTCAATCCTACAGCGTCTCTTCGTTGACTTGTAAACTTGTAATTTAATAAAAGTTGGTTAGAAATAAAAACTTAAATGTAAAAGTCGTCTTCCTTGTATTGATAAAAACGCCGACCATTGTAGTTGGAGTCGTCTTACTATTCCACAGTGTAATGGGTTCCACTTATAGTCTTATTATTGTTGTTAATAGTTTTGGATAATTTTTAAACATTTTAGACAAAATTTTATAAAACTTTAAAGATTTAAAACAAAATTTAATAAAACTTTAAATGTCTGCGAATTTGTAAAGTTTAGTGGTGGAGAAGGCGGTTGTAAACTTCCAGTTCTGGAACATGATCTCCCACTCGTCCACCCTCTCCCTCAGGGTGGTGGACACACAGCGTAGCATCATCATACTCCTCACGTCCAGGTACTAGACACATGTTAAATTATTAAAGGGGTTGTAAGCTTTATCAGATAAAGTATGAATTATATATCAATATTTATGATTTTGAAAGATGATTATTTTCAACTGTCGTATCTTTTCAAAAGTAACGTGCGCATTTCTACTGCAAGAAATTGCAATTATCAAAATTAAACACTTTTAAACCTAGAAAAATGACGATATATTCCACATAATTTATCAGATAAAGGTTACATGAAATCTCTGTTTGTCTTTTCTTTTTTGTTTGTTCAAAACAGAGATTTCATGTAAATAGATATCAATTTGTATATTTGGTTTGTCTGTGTGTCCGCCTGTCTGTGCCCAATAAACGTCAATTGGCCCAAATTAAAGAATTTTAAAATACGATTTCGATCTTTAAATTTCTAGAAACATTAAATTTATTATTTTGTGCAAATTTATATTTTGACACGGAAATAAAATGAAAGTGTGGTCAGAAAATAAAACAATTTGTTTGGAATGAAATGGGGGAACTTGGGAGAACTATATAAACATTTTAATTTGATTTTGTAAGTGGATCGATTTTAATGGCAAAAATTTAGTTTCCCGTTAAAATCGACCAAGTGCGGGTAAACGGCGAGAGTAATTAGTCGTTATGCACTTAAACCAACCTGAAGCAGAATTCGCATCAAATCTGGGTACAGGGATTCCATTCCAACAGCTTTCACTTAAAAAAGAACATATTTTAACAGGGGTGTTTATTTTTGTAAAAAATCATTTCGCCCCCTTCTAAACTATTCACTAACTCTCATGTTTCACGAGGCCCTCTGTATTAGAAATTGTTTCATTAGACATATCAGTCATTGAATTTATTAATTTCATAAATACATTATTCTGATATTTTGACACTCTGTAAAACAAAAGCAGAGCTTTGGATCAGAAATGTGAAAAGAAGATCTCCTCCGATATGAAAAGTTTGCACAATGACTTTTATTTGCATAAAAAGGAAATTAACCCCCTTTTTTCAGATAAGAATAATATTTAGCAGAACTTTTCTAAACTAGCATTGGCATAGAATGTGTATGCATGATTTAGTTTATNCACTGTTACCTTTTGCTGTATCACTATGTGATCTATTAATGGTCTCTACAATTTCAAAACAACCTCCATCATCTAGAAAAATACTAAATTTGAAAATCTGCAAAAAATACAAAATTATTGAAATAGTCTGATAAGTTAATTCACAGATACGATTACGATAAGATATTAATATCATAATTGTCATTCATTCCTACTTCCCCTACTCATTATTTTAGATAAAATAAGATAATTAAACACCATGATTATTATTCATTCCTACTTCCCCTACTCATTATTTTAGATAAAATAAGATAATTAAACACCATGATTATTATTCATTCCTACTTCCCCTACTCTTTATTTTAGATAAAATAAGATAATTAAACACCATGATTATTATTCATTCCTACATCCCCTACTCATTAATTTAGATAAAATAAGATAATTAAACGCCATGATTTTTATTCATTCCTACTTCCCCTACTCATTATTTTAGCTAAAATAAGATAAATAAATACCATGATTATTATTTAATAATTTAGGATTTTTCTAGTGTACAACCTTGGGTTATTGTCAATTAAATTATATATTTTTAAATACAGGACTACCTATAAATAATGAGCCTGTAATGACGACCTAAAACTCTGAAAATATGCCGATCTGAATGTTAAACTCAGCCTACTGCCTTAAATATGATCTTTTATTAGCTTATTATATGCTTTTGCAAAAAATGCAACAAATTTATATATATCATAAATATAAGGAAACAAAGAGAATGAATTCAGTACATTTATCTCTGAAGTCTCATCCTTTGAGGGTAAAACTGTATCTTAATATGTACCTTCTATTGGATAGCTGAAAGCCATCAAATGTATGAAAATGCCAAAGATGCGAAGAAAAGAAAAATCATTTTTGTTTTCAGAGCTTCCTCTCCTACTCTCAGAGTTCATCTAAATATTATAGTATTTATATTAAAACAGAATTCAATCCAAGTGAGAAATCTGAAGAAATCCCAAAATTTCACGTACTAATTATTTAAAAACAAAATTTTAATATTTGTGTTAAAAGGAAAAATTTGTAAGGGGCCTAGTGCACTACTGCAACTGGGATGTTGTAGTTTGACGAAAATTATGGAGAACGATTAGAAGCTGTAATTGCAGAAGTAGTTAAACAAAGTTGATTTTAAAATAAAGTGTTTTTTTCTAAAATCAAATTAATATACAGTAGTAGTTGTAAACGGTCCTCCAGTCGATGTATTATATATTAATACAATGAAGACGACGTTCTAGTTCAAATCTTGATTTCTAGCAATGTTTCAAACGCTAGTGACACAAAAACATGTCAACAAAGAGAAGATGACAAATGAAGATGAAAAATAATAGCTTCTCTGTATTTATTTGAATTTTTAATAAAAAGTCGTCTTCAAATTGTATTGATATAATCCCCGACCAAGTACTTGGTTCCATTAAAGTTAAACCTTAAATGACGATCTAAAAGTCTTTAGATACAGTGGTAAGCTATTATATCAATACAATGAAGACAACTTTCGATTTCAATTTTTATTTATATCAAGCTTTCAAACAGCATGGATACATATTAACATGGAACAAAGAGAAGCTATAATAGGTTAAAAAGACCTACTCTTTATTTACTTGTAAGCTTACAATTTTAAAAAATCTTGTAAACAATTAAAACTTAAATAAAAAGTCGTCTTCATTGTATTGATATAATCGCGTACCACTGTATGAAGATATGAACCTAGGTCTGTCTTCCTTGAATCTAGTCGTTTAATGCAAATATTTTCATTTGACCAAAAAATAAAAAAAGTTTTATTATTAAACAGATGAAGGTTAAATGTTTTCAGATAGAAAGTTATAATATATTTCTTTATTATTAAACAGATGAAGGTTAAATGTTTTCAGATAGAAAGCTGATATATTCCTATATTATTAAACAGATGAAGGTTAAATGTTTTCAGATAGAAAGTTATGATATATTCCTATATTATTAAACAGAAGAAGGTTAAATGTTTTCATATAGAAAGCTATGATATATTTCTCTATATTATTAAACAGAAGAAGGTTAAATGTTTTCAGATAGAAACCTATGATATATTCCTATATTAAACAGATGAAGGTTAATTGTTTTCAAATAGAAAACTATGATATATTCCTATACTATTATACAGATGAAGGTTAAGTGTTTTCAAATAGAAAGCTAGGATATATTCCTATATTATTAAACAGATGAAGGTTAAAGGAGTACCATTGTAAATTGCACATGTACCTTTTCAAATGCAGGATTCATTAGAATTACGTTTACAATACGTTTAATTTTGTATTTATCCTTGAATTTGGTTAAAAAGTGGGATTCCCTGTTAACTCCAAACTCTAAAGTGGATTCACACAACTATACAATACACTGCACACTCGGACTCCTTCATAATACAGAGCGTCCTAAAAACTATTAAATTATTTCCCAGCTTTAACGCCAAAATTCTCACAGAATTCTTAAAAACGGCATTTACAGCATGCAAATAATTAAATATTTTGAAATTAATGATATTTAAAAAAATATTTTTTTTGTTCCAAATATTTTTAATTTGACCTTGACACTACTTTTAATCGAATAATCTGTGAAACACAAAATAAAACATAATTTAGAACAAAACGTTTAATTAAACTTCTTTTTATTAAAATGTATCAGGTTGAGAATATGAATTAATATTAATTTAATTAAGTCCATTTTTATTGTAGAATTATAGTGTTTAAATTGAAAAAATATTATGATGCAACTTCTGGTTTAGCATTCATATTTAGCAATTTAATTGGCGCAATTAAAAGTTTATAATTCCGATAAAAAAGTTCAAAATTTTATCATTTTTTACCGATTTTGTTTCCATTATACGCTGCACCTTTTCAGTTCCTATAGTTGCGTATAATTTTATTAATTTTATCATTTTTTCATTAAAAGTAATGATTCTTTTACCATGGTTAATGAAGATTCTTTTGGATTTGTTTTTACCTTTTATCCAAATCTAGGATTTTTAAGATTCTAGATTATTTTGAAGAAAAAAATCAATCCTTGAGTTTTATTCACTTTTCAGAATTATCAAATAACTGTTTTGCTGTTTTGCTTGCTTTCACTTTAATACTGTACGTATGCACTGCACAGTTCGTTTATTCATTTCTCTGAACAATCCAAATCGTTTGTCCATCGTTGGTTTTATTTGAACGACACCATTGTTCATAAAAAACTTCGTTTGTTCACAAAACGATGCTCCTCTCATAAAGAGAAAGGCCAACTATACGGAGTACGGAGCCGGACCAATCTCAAAATTAACTTAGATACAATGAACCACCCCATTAGAAGAATGGGTTAGTTTACTGTGTATTACTTACATATAATTGCAATTATAACGTTGTTAAGATTATTTAAAAATCATTATTTATACAATAAACTTCTCCATGTCTATTCATTTTTTGGATTTCATAGCAAATTAGAATTTCCTTAACTTTGAGACATTTACTCAAGTTGGTCAACTTAAGTAAATTAAAATAAAATATCATAAAGGATAAGAATAAGAGTCATGATGATATAGTGAGAACCAGAAAACTTTAGATTTTGATGACGATTGACGAGTTTTAGACTCAAGGTATAACTTTAAATAAATGAATATGAGACATAGCAGCGTGCAGTGTAAACAGACCCATTTCACTTATAAATTGTGTCGGACCCTGGAACCAGAGAAGACCTTCTCAACTTCCTCTCCTTTTATACACTCTTTATTTAATATGTATTTATATCTAGAAGCAATAAATGTACTTCTAAAACATTAACAAAATTGAAGTTAAAATTCCCCAAAAAACTTTTAGAATTTTCATTTTTGGGGTTCCATTTGACCATGTGAATTCAGTATTTATAGATAGTCTCTGATTCTGAAAATGTTTTTCAATAATTTTCATCGGAATAATTGAGGTTTACGAAAACTATTTTATTTAAAAAAATGATAGATTCCAACATCATCTATACGTTAAAATGCAGAGATAAACTGATGACATCATGATCCTGTTTAGAACAGTTTGAATTATTTCCTTAGCCAAAAATGAATACATTTTACCATTTACATATAATTATTATTATGAAATGGTATAGATCAATTTCAGAGACATCGGATGAAAGTGCATTTATCGATGATCGATACAAATTCTTGATTCAAATCAATGATACCGCTTCTCACTTTTTGTGAACAGTAATTTCACTTCAAAATCTAAAATTTATGCAACTGATACAGCTTTGTGACCTCGTAGCTCCATCAGTTTTGATTCTACTCGCAAGTATCAGAAAAGCAAATTTATTCGGTCGCATATTGGAAAAACATTTTTGTTCTTCTCAATAGCAATTCTATAAAAGGAGTTCTTGTTGAAAACATTCAAATTTCAATTATACGTGAAATTAACTTTAGTTTGACGTAAGTCACAGTAAACTAGAGGTCCTGGTTTAAAGTCACGGTAAACTAGAGGTCCTGGTTTGAAGTCACAGTAAACTAGAGGTCCTGGTTTAAAGTCACGGTAAACTAGAGGTCCTGGTTTAAAGTCACGGTAAACTAGAGATCCTGGTTTAAAGTCACGGTAAAGTAGAGGTCCAGGTTTAAAGTCCATAGAGTCTTAACTTCATAACCCATTTTTACCCACATTAAATATTAATTCCTTATATTTGCTGTTTCTACTTTTTTGTTGTGCTAAATGTTAAATAGTTAAGCATGTAAGGTGTCTTGCATTCATTTTGATGGACTTTGAATGAGAGATCAAAATAAGACTGAAACATTCCGACATAGACAGGACGAACTTCGTTGCCGTTAGTTTTACGTGAAGTGTACACGTCTTAATCCTCAAGCCTTGCTTCCATTAGCAATATATCTAATAATAAAGATGTATTATATTGAGACAATATATTTTATTATTTAAATTTAAATACATTACATATTACATTATTCTGAAGGAATCTATTGGCGCTACATGATAACAGTTTTGACTTAAGGAATAGAGTTTCAGATATTTCAGTTAAATAACTGTATATCTCTATACATAATTATTATTACTATTTATGTTGGAACAGATGGACTTGCTTCTCCTTTTCTCTTCTTATACTCAACAATTCCTACAAAAACACATTTTAAGAATAAAATTATGTTTGTTAAATATATATTTTCAATTAAAAGGAATTGGTCTTTGCTAACCCCTATATCTTTGCAACATGATGGTGCAAACTTTTAAAATTTCAAGCTAAGATTGTTTAATCTTACACAATTCACAGTTTGAAATATCTAAGGTCTACGACATTGGGTTGCAAAGATAAAGGGATTAGAAAACTTGAGTTTGTAGCAAAGGCCATTTTTTTGGAATTTTTTTTTACAAATAGAATTTTATTTTTAAAATTTTGTTTTACCTGCAAATACTGCTAAACCTCCGGCAGCTAGAACAAGGGATTGTTTAATCCAATTATTATTACTTCTGGAACAAAATTATCATTTTACATTTTTTTAAAATCATTATTTGATAGTCATGAAAGTCAACCACACTGTTAAAAGAAACCCTGTAATATCTTGTTAAATTTAATTGTAAATATCTAAATATATACTTTGCTTGTCTGTCTGCCTGGGTTTCTGATTGTTTGTATCCAATAAACGGAAAAACGGCTGAACCAAACATGCTCAAAAGTTTTGAGAAAACTCACGTGACCCCAGGGAAGGTTTATGGAAGTTCAGAACTACAAAAATGTCTCCAAAATATTATGATTTTAGTAAAATTTTGAAAATCCATGAAAAAATATTATTTGTATCGCAAAGAATGAAAAGATAACAGATTGAGCCAGTATTAAAAGTTAAAATAGAAGATGGACGCAATAAAGATAAATTTTAGGAAAATCCTAATAGGGATATCTCACAAAATTTGAAACACCTAACCTTCTGTTCGTAATTTAAAACAAAATATTTTTATTTTGAACTTCTTTCCTTCACTTATACACGCACCTCTGCCCCTTTGGTAAAAGTAAATTAAACCTTTATGAAGCATAAAGTCTGACTTGTTGCACCGGCTAGTCCTGTCCTTAGAGCAAGGTACAGTACAAACTGGGACCAAATGATTGACCAGGCTCGGAAATTCAAATGTACTACAGATGCCCGTGTATAGGTTTCCTTCTATAAATAGCACGGTTGCTTTATATCTGATTGCTTTTAAGATTTAAATCTGAACAAATTTGGTGTAAATATAATTTTCCTGAGCATTAATTTTGTAACTTTTTCACATCCTTCCCCTCCATACCCGTCCATAACACGCACTGTGGGGGCACTGTAAACCTACAACAAGGAATGATTTTATATACAGGGTGTACCAATAAACATGGGAATTAAGTGACGACTTGTATATCGGCTCTGTTTCGTGTGGTATTATAACCTATAACACGATTTTTGTTGTATTCCAGTTAAAACAGTTAAAAGTCAAAACTATATTTAGTCTTGAGAATTCCAAAATGTGGTTTACAATATTTGTACCTTCAAAATTGACGGAAATGTTAAGAAATCTGTCCAGATTCTAATCTATTGAATAACAACGAAATCTGTCAAATGTTTAATATCTTCGGCAATTTTGAAGAAAGCAGACCACATTTTTAAAAGCTTATAGCTTTCAGTCTTTATTTTGATACACTCTTTGTCATTAATCAGCTATCATATATCGAAGATGATTTTCAAGTCGTCTCTTGATTCCCATGTTTCTTGGGACACCCTGTAAATCCAATTATTATTGTCATCTCAACATCATAAAAGATTAAATTTCAAAATCTTTATTTTTTAACAAAAAAAAAATATTTTCTACTTTTATTTACTTTTTGCAAAAATAATATAAATACTCGTTTTGGTCCGTGGTAGAAAATTTCAATTCCCATGTTTAACTTGGTAAAACTGTTTAAGTAATTACAACAATTTAATAACGACTGAAAGTGTAATATCAAATAATAAAATAAATGATGTTTTATTTATTTAGTAAAAAAAAATCTATACAATAAAACAAGACATTCATATATATGTTGCGTATAATAGCCGGCAAAACGGCTGGACTGAATTTCTTTATAGACACTCATGGGTGGCCGGGGTTGTTATAGGCAAAAAATTGGAAATTTATTTTTAATTTTAAAAAAAAATTCCACGGGCAACGCCGGGCCCTTCAGCTAGTATCTCATAAAAAGCAAAGGTTTGTTTACTGTTCTACCAATCTTTTTAACTAAGAGAATGTTTATTAACGTCTTCAAATTATTATGTTTAGTGTGCTACACTGTATATTTGATAATGGGAAAAGGTCAAATTTATGCGACATTAATGGTGGTACGACTTTGTGATCTTAAGGCGATGCGACACTTAAAAGTCGACCCGGTGTTGAAATTTTTATACAACTTTTCATAGCAGTCTAGATTTATGTGAACTTCTAATTATGTTTCCCCACCCCTCGTGTACCTACAGTGTTTCTAATCGTTAAAAAAAACTTTCAAGATTTCAAAACAATATTTTTTTTTTTTAACAAAAAAAAATATTTTCTACTTTAATTTACTTTTTGCAAAAATAATATAAATACTCGTTTTGGTCCGTGGTAGAAAATTTCAATTCCCATGTTTAACTTGGTAAAACTGTTTAAGTAATTACAACAATTTAATAACGACTGAAAGTGTAATATCAAATAATAAAATAAATGATGTTTTATTTATTTAGTAAAAAAAAATCTATACAATAAAACAAGACATTCATATATATGTTGCGTATAATAGCCGGCAAAACGGCTGGACTGAATTTCTTTATAGACACTCATGGGTGGCCGGGGTTGTTATAGGCAAAAAATTGGAAATTTATTTTTAATTTTAAAAAAAAATTCCACGGGCAACGCCGGGCCCTTCAGCTAGTATCTCATAAAAAGCAAAGGTTTGTTTACTGTTCTACCAATCTTTTTAACTAAGAGAATGTTTATTAACGTCTTCAAATTATTATGTTTAGTGTGCTACACTGTATATTTGATAATGGGAAAAGGTCAAATTTATGCGACATTAATGGTGGTACGACTTTGTGATCTTAAGGCGATGCGACACTTAAAAGTCGACCCGGTGTTGAAATTTTTATACAACTTTTCATAGCAGTCTAGATTTATGTGAACTTCTAATTATGTTTCCCCACCCCTCGTGTACCTAATCGTTTCTAATCGTTAAAAAAAACTTTCAAGATTTCAAAACAATATTTTTGTTTAATTTTATCTTTTATTAACCTTTGCAATTGCTTTATCCTGAAATAGAAAAAATCTAAGAACGACCCAAGACAATTGTTACAAGTTACAACACATTCGTTTGTGTTTTTTTTTTGGATCGTTTTTGAATCGTTTTTGGGCCGTTTTTGGATCATTTTTGGATCGTTTTTGAATTCTTTTTGGGTCGTTCATTTCGAGTCGTTTTTTGATCGTTTTTGATCGTTTTTTGATCGTTTTTGGGTCATTTTTGGGTCGTTTTTAGATAGTTTTTGGATCGTTTTTTTCACATATCTACAGTCAGGGTCAAAGTTTGACACAGTGAAAGATAATTTAGGGAAAAAACAAGCCGAAAACTAAGCAATTGTACCTGTCTTGGATTTAGCAGAGGTCGAATTACCGGAGCATCATCAGAACTCCAAAACTTTACTTTATATTCTTAAAGAAAAAAATTAAGAGAGAAGAAAAATGAATTACCAAAAAAAGAAAAGGAAGTTGCGAAAAATGAAAATCAATAACGAAAAAAGAAAATGCATTACAAGAAAAGAAAATTATATTTCAAAAAGATAAATTAATTAAGAAAAAAAGATAAATAAATTGCAAAAAAGAAAAAGAAAAATAAATTGCGAAAAAGGAAAATAAATTTTAAAAAAATGTTGAAAGATATTTTAAGTTTTTAATTTTTGAACATAATATTTAACAATCCGTGTATTATAATATTTTACTCTAGTTTGGAAGGATTTTGAATTAAAGATCTAAATACGACTGAACATAATTGAGTTTGACATTTTATGATTTTATTTAATCAAAACACGACATTTTTAGAAAGAACAAACAATACTCTGCTGATTGTTAATTTTTAAGAAATATATTTTTTTTAAAACTCATTTTAATTTAGAGTACTGTATTGTGACATAAATTTACTCAGATATTTTCAGGGTCGTATAAAGGGGGGGGGGCTCTAGCCCTAGTCTCCCCCTGGAAAAAGGTTGAGTATCCCCCCCCATTGGACAGATTTCTGAATACACCAATGATATATATATGTACCTGCACATGAGTTGTGTATTGTATGTCTATTTGTTGTGAATAAATCTGATCCGCCCTCGAACTTCATATCTTCCGCCTCCTAAACAATTCAAACTTTATATCTTCCGCCTCGTAACAATTCAAACCTTATATCTTCCGCCTCCTAAACAATTCAAACTTCATATCTTCCGCCTCCTAAACAATTAAAATTTTCAAATATGATCTCTAAAAATTTGTCTGAAGGGACTTTAAATGTAGTTTCAATGAATTGATAGAATGGTTTATCTGATTCACAACTGTACTCTAAAAGTTTACCTGATCAAGTACAAATTAGATATCTTTATATATATATAAAGTTGTAATATCTGTTTGGGTGTCTGTTTGTTTCTTTGTTTGTTTGTACGACCATAACTCAGGAACCCCTGGACCGATTTGCCTCAAATTTTGCTTGGGGAACGCAGGGAAATGTTCTTAGCTTGGTTTTGAGATTCTACGTTGAGTGGGTTGGCTTTAATAGCGAAAATTTAGTTTTTAGGTAAAACCGTTTAAGGCGGGTAAACGCCGGAAGTAACTTTTAGTAACCTTGGCACACAAGGATTTAAAGGTCTGAGCTATCGAGAAAAAATCGATGAGAATTTTTCCAATTACTTCTTAAAAACCAATGCTAACAACAAGTGCTTTATGGTGATAAAATGTACAATCATTTTCAATTTCAATTTTTTGAACCATATCCTTGCAACCTAATGTTGTAAACCTTAGATATTTTAAACTACGCATTCTAGATCAAAAACCAATGCTTAAAACATGAAGGTTTACACAGTGAGGTTGCAAAGATACAGTGATATTAAAATTGTATAAGTTAACGGTATTTAAAACTACTGAGGTTCACTGACTGTAAAATAAAACTGTATCTTTAAATGCATAGACCTGTCTGTTCACTGTCTATTGTTTATTCAGTTACCGTCGGTCTATATTTATCTATATTTAATAAGTTTAAAGTTTTTGCCTTTTTTTTAAATACATGAATAAATGTTACCAATTCATTTTTAGGCTTCTTGGCCACATATGGTCCTCCTTTTGCCGTCACTGCTTCACGGCCATTCCAAAAGTTTCGTTCACCCTCTGGTCTGGAGTCTCCCATTTTATCTGAAAATTCCATTAAAAAAAAGAAATTTGCTTAAACTTAACCAAACCCTAAAATAATAAAAAATAAATAAGTGGTCATGTACGAAATTGATAGGACGGACCCAAAACGTTATATTTGCAAAATATTACTAAAATGATTTCACTGAATTCCAAAAACAACAATATATACTTTATATGAATTACAAAACATTATTATGGTTTAAAAGAGCTACATAAGATTTCAAACGTTTAATAGAGAATTTAAGTATTTAAAAATTTAATATTAGAATATTTTTCTATTTCCGAAAAATTGATTCCATATCATCCTATAAAATTACAAGCTATCTATTTAGTATTTGGATATATCAGGCTATCACCTGTTCACAAATATCTCCTGCATTGCTGCCTTGCGTACGACTAAGGCAGTAACACTATATACTGTATAATACTAAATATTACAAAATTGTGTAATTTCCCGGATTACGAAATTTACCGCATCAAAGACGACATTTAAAAAGGGTTTTATTTTCAAAGTGATGTATAAAGGATTACCCACAATGAATAAGGATGGTGTATTTTTCGACCTACGCCAAATCCGCAATACTACACATCCGACATACTAGCACATGGTTTTACAGCTGCTATACGGACACAAGGCTTTATAACAGTCGAAATCTTCGAAATCTTATAATATTGTTTTCAAAAAAAAAATTTGTTTCAATTTATATCTTTCAATTCATCCACCCGTCTACATATACTATTTATACATTTATCTTGTATATTTTTAAATGTCAGTATCTATCTCAATTTCTGTTATATATACTGTCTTTCCAATCTATCAGTCTATTTTTTCTTTTTTATACTACAAGAATTACGTATATTTCTCCACAGTGAATAAATCATATATAACACGCACCTCTTCACCTTTAGTAAGAGTAAACTGAACCTATATGAAGCATAAAGTCTGACCGCGTCAACCTTGTTTTACCAGCTATTCCTGTCCATAGAGCTAGGTACAGTACAAACTAGGACCGGAAAGGTTGACCCGGTTCGGAAATTCAAATGTACTACGGCTGCCTGTGATAATCACTTTGATATTTCTCAGACTATATATTCGTATTTGGTATATGTATACATATATTATGTATTATGTATATATTTACCTACCTTTATTTGTAAATGTCAATATCTATCTTTTATACCTAAACATAAATTTCTATCTAAATATCTTTCCTGTCTGTCCAATCTATCGATCTATCTATTTTCCCTTTAATCAGTACAAGAATATAATCTTTAATTGATCCTATTCAGAGCTCCAGGATCCATCTTACATTATATACACTGGACTCCAATTTTTATATAATCTATACTTCAATATTCAACACTATTTTTTACAATTTATTCGTTTATCATTTTTTATAATCTTCTATTTCAACTTTTAATTGTTGCTCAATCTTTCAGCATTTTCTTTTCGATCAAACAATTTGAGGATTTACAATATTGTCAAATAATGTTGGTCACAACTTTTTGTAATTCCCCAGGGTCATGTGAGGTCCCACAAAAAATAAAGGCCTAATCGTATCAGCCGTTTTGACGTTTTTTTCTGGTTTATTGCCAATTTTACGTACTTTCTTTCCCATCCTAATAACATGCTATAGAAAAGGGTAAGAAAAGCTGGCAACATTTATTAACATTCTTTTTAACTCACATTGTTAAGGTTAGCCTCTGATTAAACAGAAAAGTTTTCTTTGACTTCACTAAATTTTTCGATACTTTCATCGTTATTTAATGTTATTCACCATGAAGAAAACCCGCAAAGAAATTGAGTCTTTGCCACAAACTCTGATTTTCTAATCTCTATATCTTTGGAACCAAATGTTGCAGACCTTAGATATTTCAAACTATGAATTCTGTTAGAACATCTAGTTCTGAAGATATTGAGGTTTTAATATTTGATTTTGTTCCAAAGACTCAATTCCTTTCTTATTAATATTTTACGCGGGGTTTTCTTAATTATAGAAGAAATAGTGATTAAAATAAGATTTTTTTTACCGCTGCAGATGAAGACAATTTTAACTTCAATGTTATTGTTAAAGGAATTGAGTCTTTGCCACAAACTCAAATTTTCTAATCCCTATATCTTTGCAACGTTATGGTGCAGTAAAATTTTTATATTTTAAACTGATGACTATTTGATCTAACATAATTCATAGTTTGAAATATTTAAGGTTTACGACATGGGGTTGCAAAGATATGGGAGTTTGAGGTAAAGACTCAATTTCTTTATAATTTGTTATTGGTGCACCTGTACTGAACTAAATAAGTTTCTACTAAAATAATATTTTTAAGATTTTTTATTTTGCATTATTAGAATTATTGCAGCTCTCAAGAACAGTTGGAAGGTTGATTAAAGACAACATATATATCGTAATAAATCTAATATTTGTATATTTTCAATTGCAATTATCTAAGAAAGTTTGTAATCTGCATATTCATTATTCATTTACTTCAATGTATTTCTGAAGTGTTGTTCTCAAACCTCCATTGTGGAATATGCACACTGCATCCCTCATTGCAACCACGTTATAACTGTAAAGTGAATTACACTTACAGACGGAAATCACGTGACCAGTATACTGCACTGCCATTGGCTGAAGTTCTGGTGACGTAATACTGACTATACGGAGTACGGACTATATGTAATTTTATTATCAAGTATATTTATTAAAAATGCAAAAAAAAATATAATAGGAGCAAACCTGAGATTTTCAGGCTCCTGTGGGATATAATCGTTTTTAAATTGTCTGCGTACTTGTTGAATATGATCTGTTTAATACAACAACTTTTATACAAAATTGTATATTTATATGAATTTTCGTATAATTTTGCCACAGTTTTATATCAATTTCTCGAGACAGGAACATCAGATAGAACTCTTATATTTATCGTTCAACGCCTGAGATTCTCAGGTTTCATCCTATACATTATCCATCATTATTCATTTACAGTCCCTTTAAGTTTAAAATCTTGTATGTTTTTAATCATAACTCCTCTGTACTGCAGAGCTATAGAGAAGAACAAAAATGTTTTTAATTTTCTAATTTGTAATTCCAAAAAAAGAATTAAGTCTTTGCCACAAACTCACATTTTCAAATCCCTACATCTTAATAATACTTGGATCATTTGATCTAATAGAATTAACAGTTTGAAATATCTAAGGTCTACAAGGTCTATTATAAATCGAGAAATGGAGGCAAAGACTCAATTTCTTTATTTTCTATGCATATTTGTGCGTCAAATCAAAACTTAGGGAGCTACGCGGTTACGAAGTCGCATTAGCTACTAATGTCGCACTCGCATAGATTTTACCTTCTTCTTCTGATATGCCGAGTCCATTAGCGACTGATCCAATCAGGGTTCAGTAATGTGTTTGGTGTCTATTCTGAACCAATAGAAATAGTATGGCGGTAACATATATTTTTCTATCTAGCTCAATCAAATTAGAGAGATATGAATCCTTTAATCAGTAAATGGAAATATTTACTTCTACTGAAACTAGTGATAGGTTGCAGTGCAAAATATAAAATTATATGTTTGAATTTAAATAATTTAATTGTTATCATATTTCGACGATAAACTTCAAAATAAGAATTTTAGATAAATCTTATTTTGAACAAAAATAATGTTTTTATTTGTGTAAAAAAAGAAATAGGTTTTAGACAAAAGTCGTTTTTAAGTATTTTTTCGAGCCGGTTTAGAGCCGGTGTATGACCAATGTGAGTATACTTTGGATGAGGAAAGGTTTTGTATGACGTTAATGTGACGTTTTAAGGCTCCAGAAACAATTATAGTTTTATAAATAAAATAACAAAGATGGTAAAAATTAGTTTTTCTAGTCATGGTATAATTGGTAGAAGGCCGGGCAATTGTATAATTATTGATTTTTTAAACTGAAACCAGTTCCTTGGAAAAGCTATAATACGTCACAGTAAACTGTGCGCACACCATAATCCCCACCTAACATTTATTCACTTTGAATATAACTTTGAATATAACTTTGAATATAACTTTGAATATAACTTTGAATATAACTTTGAATATAACTTTGAATATAACTTTGAATAACGAAAGTTTTTTTGTACACTATAGTTTGAGTAGAAGTAAATATTTCCATTTACTGATAGCGCCGATATAAGGATTCATATCTCTAATTGGATAATGAGATAGATAGAAAGATAGATGTTACCGCCATACTATTTCTATTGGTTCAGAATAGACAACAAACACATGGCTGAACCCTGATTGGATCAGGCGTTAATGGACTGGGACCGGAAAGGTTGACCCGGCTCGGAAATTCAAATGTACTACGGCTGCCCGTACCTTCTTCTCCTCTCTTGTTTGTAATTACATAGGATATGCATGGTACTACCCCCAGTCCCTAGTTAAACTTTGGTACCCCACTTTATCATCTTATTATGTACACTCAGCCCACAGTGAAAATTGCACATTGCACATTGCACCCATTTACCCCATTTTGTTCATCAAATTGCACATTACACCTCTTGACTCTATTTTGTTTATCAAATTGCACATTACACCTCTTTACTCTATTTTGTTTATCAAATTGCACATTGCACCCATTTACCCCATTTTGTTCATCAAATTGCACATTACACCTCTTGACTCTATTTTGTTCATCAAATTGCACATTACACCTCTTAAATCTATTTTGTTTATCAAATTGCACATTACACCTCTTGACTCTATTTTGTTCATCAAATTGCACATTACACCTCTTGACTCTATTTTGTTTATCAAATTGCACATTACACCTCTTGACTCTATTTTGTTTATCAAATTGCACATTACACCTCTTTACTCTATTTTGTTTATCAAATT